CTAACCTGATGGGGAAGAGAAGCGCGATGGCTTCACTCACTATGTGATTCTTTCGCGTGTACATCCTGCTTGCAGACATGCACAAAAGATAATACTGTGTATTTCCTAAAGTTCTTACTGCTTTTACTATCTTTTTACAAGTGTAAGAAATCGGCAGAAATCATTGATATTATCTGGGACCGGAGCGAAGAAATTGCGGATTCAAAAGTTCGTTTAACGCTGAGTGAACTGCTAACCAAGGTGATTCGAAGTTGAGGTGATGTTATTATAAATGTTACAATTATTTGCTTACTATTTTGTTTTCTTAAATTTTCAGACGAAGATTAAGACAAATATTGTCAGTGAAATTGGAGATTTAGGAAGCAAAAGGTATTTCTTTAAATGTCACGCGAGTTTTTTCTGAAAGCCATATCTAACTTTAATTCCGTTCATATAAAGTTCTCCTGATGCAATATCAGCAGTGCAACCTCAAAATGAAAAGAATCGCAACAAGCACGCTATAAGAGAAGACAGCCAGTCGGATGATCTGTTCAAAAAAATAAATGAAGATGACGAGGAATTTCTTGAAAATGTTGGACTTCTATTCAATGAGTCAAATGAGGAGTCAATTATTGAGAAAGTTGATGAGAATTCGCTATTGGACGAAGTTCGATTGCCATCAGTAAACATTAATAAGAAAACATCAGAGGTAAATCTTGTTATAAATATTTTATGAATAAGTATTCAACAAATTTATTATTCTATTATCAATAGGAGCTCCTTGATACAAATACAATCGGGGCATTTAGCAAATATCAAAAAAAGATACCAAAAACTCGCAAGGCTTTGACGTAAGTTTAGGAACCATCATTATAAACACAATTTCATCCTGCTTATTAATATTCTATACATGCTATTCATTAGCCCTGCGTATTGGGGAATATTGGATTTGATGAAGGAGAGTCTCAAAAACTCAGGATATGGATATACAAAAATTATCTCAGGATTTTTCAAACAAAATCGGATGGAATGATGTTACAGCCCCAAAAGAAATTCAAGAATATTTCGACAGAAATTGTGTTGTGGTCGATAATATCGATGTCATCAAAAAATTAGACAGGAACGTCCAATTTATGTATGTATATTAATGAATACATTGTGTAAATTATTTTGTTATTTAATGTTTCTATTTAGGTAGATAAATTTCCTAAGCTACGAAAGGCGTGCACCGAAGAAGAGCTAAAAATGTCAACAACATTTCCATTGTTTTCAGGAATTTTTAATTCGCCGAACATAAATAATTCTTGGTAAATAGATCATTATTATTATTTTTTGACAATTATATCAAAATACAGGGTGAAATTCAAGCAATCTCGACAAATAAAGCACGGAATGAAGAACAAAATCCCTTCATGAAGGCTAGAATTGGACACAAGGTTGACATGAAAGGAACCTTGGTCAGAACGCCGAATAAATTTGAAATAATATATGGCGAAATTTCCGGTTGTTTGACTTCTTTCGGCTTGCCCGCTTCCTGTAGGAGAAAACAATATGTGGACAAAGTAAAACTTATGGTGATGTTGAGGGATAGTCTGAATCAATTCTTTAAAAACTATTTGCACGTGACAGACGAACAACGTAAAAAGTTAATAGTCTACGGTTGGTTGCAAGTTGGTAAGTTTGTTCAATGTGATATTTAGTATATATTAAAAAAATATATTAATATTTTAAATGTCAGGAGTTGAGCTAAGCTTTTACGCTATGGATTGGATTGGATGCGGAATATACAGATTTGGTAAATTAGATAAGTGCGAATTACCGGTCGATGAAGGTGATTTA